CCATAAATAGCTTGCCTCTGGAAACCCTATGAACCTGGAGAAAGGATGAAAGTTATACAAGTGTCCAGGTCTTTCGTTCATAGGGTCGCTATGAATCGGCTAAGACTAGAGATGGCACTTAACAACAATCACATTTCCTAATCATCTACTGTGAAAAGTCACAGCTGAACGTTTTCTGTGAAGATGTCGTACATCTCAAAATGTCACATAGAAGGTTGAGAGCTGTGATAGAAATGACCAGAATAACACTACAAAATGCAACCCCCTAGTAGAATTTTCTCTGCTTCTGGAATGACAGGATGGTATAGAGGGGGCTATCTATTTGCGTGGGGGCTGCTGGGGGCCTTTGAAAGCTAAGGAGTCAGTGGGGGATCATCCTACTTAAACATGCAAGGAGAGGAAACTCCAAAAGGCTTAGAAAACTCACAGCAGGTAGAAAAGACAGAATGAAGACAATTAGGGAGGGGAAGATAAGAGAACAATGGCTCTGGAAAGCAAAACTGGGTGAACTGTCAACACTCACTGGCTGGCAGCTTTTAGAATCCCATACACTGGGGAAAGATGTCATTCCATTGTAAACCACAAAGGAGAGGCTTGAAGGGACTATTGTCTCCAGAATCCTCCAGGCTCAGTGCCTGGAACCAAGAAGGAGAACAGTACAAATAATTACGGGAGTAGTGGAATTAACTTACAGGGAATTCTTTCTACTTTTCTTCACCTGGTGAGATCAAGTGTAGTATTAATTTCACATCAGATAGGTCTTCTATAGGGGAACTGTATCCTGTTGTAGCAAAAGATGATCAAGTAGATTTTTTCCATTCCCAACTTCAAGGATGTAACAAATTATGTATAGCTTGGGAAAATGATGCACCAGGTCTGCTGTGTGTGGGTGGAAGCAAGACTATCTAAAATGAATAGACATCATGGAAGGAAAAGAAGTACATGGGATTGTATTACAAAAGGGAGGGGGGAAGAATAGCTTTTGCATTTATACAGAATCTCTACAGAAAAGGTAATCCAACCTTATGTAAACTCTAGGTCATTCATTTAGACTTTTCTTCTATTTGTTTGTTCATACCTTCTAAAGAGCTAGCTCAATTATTCCACACCCATTTTGAGTAATGGACACCATGCTTAATTTGCAGATGGAAAATTAGGATTATTGAGTAAGTAGTTTATCTGTGGTCAAGCACAGAGCAAGGCAAGAGGCAAGGATATGACATAATTCTCTCACTAATGAAATGAAAATAGAGAGCAATGTGTTAGGTGCCATTGAGTTGTAGCGACCCTATGAACGAAAGGCCTGAGCACTTTTCGTACATAGAGTTTCTGGAGGCAAACCATTTCGGAAGTGGATGCTGCTCCTGCTTCCAGGCTTGTTTTAGTCGGGAAGCTCCAGCAAACACTGTCCACCATGGGTAACCATTACCACGATTGGCACATCACTGTCACAGGCTTCAGCATCACAGGAACAACGAGTTACCTCTGTACAGCAACGCACAGACCAGTGCTATACCACCTAGAAGAATGTCTGACAGAAAACAATTTGAACCTGGCCGAGGGCCACAGATGAAAATCACCCACCTTCAGCTTGGTAGCATAACTTCCTTTCCACTAGGCCAACATAGCTCTATGTCGTCATTGTTATTGTTGTTACATGCCGTCGAGATAGCAAGAGGTCTATATATTTCAATCAAATTCAAATTACAAGAAAGTTTTCTTATAAATAGTTTCCTTTTTAATGTACTCAAATATCACTACCCTCCAATTAATGAAATCTTTCTAACCATCTTATTATCAGTGTATTGTGTCTCATAGTTTACATGAGTCTCAAAGCCTCCTCTTCAGTTTCCTTACAGGTGTATCATCATAATCAGTACTTAACATGCTTTCAGGATGCTGTAGCTCTTCCATGTTTAAAGCACTAGGTTGCCTGCTAACCAAACAGTCATCACTTCAAACTCCACGAGTAAGATGAGGCAGCTTACTTTTGTAATGGCTACAGCCTTGAAAACCTTGCATGACAGTTGTGTCCCTCCCTTTAGGGTCACTGAGTTGGAATTGACTCAGTTTGGTTCCTGGGTTAACAATGGCCTTGGTTCCTGTTAATATGTGCTGTGAAAAGTCCCACATAGGTGCCTGATTTCTTGAGTAATGCTTTAAAGAATGAAACTCTCTCCAAGTAAGAAAGTCAAGGGATTAATGGCTCAATTTTCAATGTGGCTTTTCTTTGGCACCACTTCTGGAATCATCTGTTTTGTGTGTCCAACCCCTTTCGAGGTCCATTAGAGCTGCCATTTTAGAACTAATTTAAGAGAATTTTAGCTCTTAACAAGAGCTCTTTGGAGCCTGATTTGGTACTGTGAAAAGATCCATCTCTAAGGCCACTTCGGGAAGCCTGGCTTTTCTTTCTACTATTTGTGTGACTCTGAGTCAGTTTCTTATCTGGAAGAGTAAAGATGGTATCATTAACCTCAGAGGGTTTTTTTTTGTGTGTGATGGAACTATTAGGACAACCCATGCTTAACTTGTAGTTTTTTTGGCTTTGTTTTCATGTTTTGGGTGGCTAAGGTGAATTGTGGTGGGTAGGGGCTTAGCTAATGTTTTAATCCCTAGTTTACGATGGTAGCTGGTCACAAGCTGAGCTCTGCCACACATACGGACATCTGTTAGACACGTGAGAAAAGTCACTGCTTGCTCTTGATGGGACTAGAACATAGATTCGCCATCTCGCACAAGTGTGCATTAATGTGGGCAATGGATATTTCCCGTGGGTTAAACACTCCCTTGGCAACAGAGCTTGTACCAGGAAGTTCCTAATCATTTTTTTTAATTATTATTAAATTTTATTAGTTTCAATGAACATTCACAGGGATTCTGGGCTTTCACTCCTTCACTGCCGCACCATTCTCTCCACCCTCCTCCCCAGTTTGTTCTTCTTCCCCGCCATCCGGATGTCTGTTTTAATTGTCCAATTGCCACAGTGCTTGTCAAAGTCAGTTCTGATTAATCTCCTTTGTCGGTGTGTCCTTTGCCATTCCCTATGACTCCTCCCTGAGAGAGACTTCACCCTGTACTTCCTGCTGAAAAGGGATGCTGTGGGTTTCAGGGTGAAGATCTTCTCTCACTACTCTAAAGGGCCCCTTTGGCAGTAGGAAACACATAGACTATTATGGAGATTGATTCTGGAATTTAGATGCACTCTTATTGATTGTGCTTGGCCGTACATGTTCATATCCTAGAAGATGTATCATGGGGGTGTTGCAACCTAGAAGACACAAATTTGACTAACAAGTTATAAGTACATGAGTCAAAAATTATGGAAAAGTAAAATCATTTTTGGTATGACAGCATAATCATCCAAACTGTGAGACACAAAGTAACTAAACATTTTGCTTCTTTTGTTCAGGCATCATTTTTATGCATAACATCAAAGTGAAATTTCAATTTTTCAAACCCACATATAAAATGACTCATAAGGCAACAGTTTATCTGAAGGGGACAAAAATTGTGCTCTACTTTAAAAAAGAAACTTTGTAGTGCTGGTTTTATGGGAGCGATACTACTAGTTGCGGACTTTTTCTTTTGCTCTGCATTAAGTATTTTTCCTTTCACACCAAATTGGGACCAAATTCTCTGCCCCAAGTTCCAATGAGTGTGTCAGTCCGTTCTAGGTGCTCTGGTAGTGCAACAGTCATATGCTTGGCTGCTTACTCTAAGACTAGCAGCTGAAACCCAGACACCACTCTGAGGGAAAAAGAACGGCCATCTGCTCCCATAAAGATTCTAGCCCAGAAAACCCAATGGGGCACAGTTCTCTTCTGTCACCTGGGCCACTGTGTGTTGGAAATGACTGATGACCATTTAAGAACAACAACAACATTCTTTATATAACTGAAAGGTTAGAATATTTCATTTTTACGAGATACTATTTTATGTTTACCACTGATGGAGACTGGTATGTTGTATTAATGACAAGAATCGTGATATAAAGGGTACCTGTCATGGTAGAGTGTCAACTACAGGGATGTAACAAGAGGCTAAGCCCTGGTGGCACAGCTGGTTTGAGTGCCGTGTATGCTCTTTTATAAGCATTATGTTTTCCATACTATAAAGGAAAATACTAGGCTCCACCCACAGGTGTGCAATAGCCAGAACAAACTGTCTTCACATCCTTCCATTCAAGCCTCTTTGCCTCCAGCTGATTCTCAACACCCCAAGCAACCCTTTAGGACAGAGGGAAATTGCCAGCAGGGTTTCCAATTTGTAATCTTTACTGAAGCTGAATATGCCTCATCTTTCTCCCACAGAGCAACTAGTAGCTTAGCGCTTAACCACTGTACCACCATAGCTGCTTTTTCTTTAGACACCCCAAGACAAACTCACTGCCAGTGAATTGGTTACAACTCATGGCAATCCTCCATCAAGTGTCGGTGGCTATAAATCTTAATGGGAGACACCCTTTCAGTTAGCAGACCAACACTTACACATGTCACCACCAGGGCTACATGCAGCATGCAAGTCTAAGGATGGGTGTCAGAAAATGTTATAAATGGAGACAAATTTTTCTTTGGATATTTTTGTCCTGTCATGATAGTACTTTCCCTGTAGTAAAAAGCTTTGAATATGTAATCTTCAGGTGCATTTTTTCTTACAAAGGTTACTATAGGAGAGTGTCATCACAACTTCTTTCTGCACTTCAAAACATTTAACCATACAAATCCAACAGGGAAGCATTTGTCCCCAAAGTTTCGAAGGCAGATGAGTCAGGAAACAAGGACAAATGGAAAAAGGGAACCAAGGTAGGGAGTGAGAAGGGTGCTGTTACATTCGGAAGATGGCAAGCAAGGTCATGAAACAGAATGTACATCAATCAGATGATGGGAAACTAGTGTGCTCCATAAACTCTTACTCAAAGGCAATAAAAAATTAAAACAACAGTACCATAGCAACTGGATTAAGCATAAATAAATGAAAGCTTCCTTTTTTTTCTCTTGTAGGCAAATATTAACATCCCAATGGGAGCCTTCCGGCCAGGAGCTGGACAACCCCCCAGAAGAAAAGAATGTACCCCTGAGACTGAGGAGGTGAGAACAAGATGGAGAGCAGAGCTCAGCAGTGTTTCTGCTCACTAGAGGGGGGGTTAGGTGTGGGAGGGCAAGGGAGAGACAGAGAACTATGCTACAGTGCACACATTTCTCTGGTCACCCTACTCAATCAGCTATGAAACACACTCCCCCTCCTCCTTCCCCTCAGCAGCATTTCCCTGCCTTGGCGATACTGAGTTTGTCACCTGGTTGTGTGTGCCTGGGGGAGGGAGAGCAAAGCCTCTGGGATGCCCTGGCCCAGCAACTAGTTCCTAGATTGCTGATAAGTTTCTGTGAATAGTGTGAGTCTGGCATCTCACAGACCAGGATGTGTTTAGTGCAGCTTCTGATGAAGCATGAAACCGGGTGGAAGGGAGAAGAGTAAGTCTGTTCAATTAGTCATGAGTTCAAACAAACAAAAAAAAAGGCCCATTTCTTGATAGGTCAGAGAACTTGCTGAGGAAGCCCACCCGGCATGCCTTTCTAATTCTTCACTTCTCCCTCGAATCCAACTGCCTGGTCTGCTAAAATGGAGCTCGAAATTGCTAAGCTGAAACACAAGTACAAGAAATAGAGAAGCATTCCTTCCCAGATGTCATATTTCTTCCTCAGTTGTGAGTTTTTGGGGGAAACCAGAAAGTTCTGATTCTGGAGAAACAGGTAAAAATTTGAAATCATTTCACTAGCATCAAGTAAAGGAAATGGATTAAAATGAAACCAGAGGCATAGCAAACCTTTTTATAAGAGTTGTTTTAACTCTTGCAGGTGATAATTATGGTGTGGTGTTTTTTGTTTTTAGGTCCCCGAAGAATACATGTCACCATTTTTACTTTTCTAATAAAGTTTTTCTGCCCTGCAGTTATCCTTCTCACCCCCTCCCCCTGCAAATATTCTTGCTGTGGTTCTAAACTGGTAGTTTGACCCTCCTATCAGAAGAAGGAGTATCCAAGTTCTAGAGAATTTTAGCCACTCAACAATCTTTGCTGAATACAAATTTTGTGCCTTTCATTTGAGAAGAACTGGCCCTTCCGTGCATTTATGTTTCTATATTTTCACATTCTATTGCTTCATGGTGAATCTTTGGCCATGTTATCAGGAGGCTCCAGTCCTTGGAGAAAGACATCTCCCCTGTGCTTTTGTTGTTGCTGTTGCTAGGGGCCCACTCAATCAGTTCCAAATAATAAAGATCTCATACAATCGAATGTAATGCTGCCTCGTGCACCACTATCTTCACAATCATTGTGGTGTTTAAGCCCATTGTCAAAGCCACAGTGAAAATCCATTTTGTTGAAGGTCTTCCTCTTTTTCACTGACGCTCTACTTTACCAAGCACGTTGTTTTTCTCTAGGGATTGCTCCCTTCTGGTAACAAAGAAATAATTTATACAACTCACATTTTTCCTTAACATTCAGTTTGCAAGCTTGAAATTTCTTACATTGTTAGGCTTAGGATCTATCACCTAGCCTTTAACTAAGATAGTTTTTGTGTAAAGTAGAGCATAACATCCCACCCCTAAACAGAACAGGCCATTTCTTTCACAGCCAGTAGGCACTGGTCTAAATTTGGACGATTTTTGAGTGTGAAACCCTCTCAGACATGAAAAGGATGCAACTTAGCAGGGAGCCAGGCTCGGTCTGTGTCTCTGCCCCACCTATGCTCTCTGATGAGCCCTTTGCTCTGCTCACTGACTTGGCCCTGCCAGAGAAGTGTGCCTGACACAGAGGCCTGGTGGATAAATTTTTACAAGCAGGGCTGGTATTTTGGATAAGACCAGGCAGCTGCTTGCTTTAAGTTCCTCTCAAATATCTGCCTCTCAAAGCTCTCTTTTGGACTGAAATCTAGCTACAAAATATCATACTGGGATGTTCTACTAATGAGTTCTGTCTCTACATTACAAAATATAAACACATCATTTAACACTCCACTTCCAAGCTGTGTAGACTGAGGCAAGTTTCTTGTGTCTCAGTTTCCTCATTTGTAAAATAAAACTCAACTCATTGCCCTCAAGATGGAACCAACTCTTAGTTGATCCTACAGTGGGTCTTCCAAGGCTATAACTGAACAGTAGGAGATTGCCCATATTTAACCTACAGCACTGATGGTGGATTCGAACTGCCAGAGAGCATGTTGTTTTTGTTGAGTACTGTCGAGTCATAACCAACCCATAGCTGACCCTCTGGTGAGTTTTCAGAGGGAGTTAACTGCACAGGAGGAGACTGCTCATCCTGGTGGATTCAAACCACATGCCTTCAGGATCACAGTGCAGGTTCTTACCCCTAGGCCAAAGAAGTCCCTGCCAGAGAGCACAGAGCACCACAAATACCTATGGACTACACCATTACAGCTCTATCTGTAAAACAGGAATAAGAAGAATAATATTTACCCGATAGAGTTGATATGTTAACTAAGTGAACAGTACATATAACTTAGGACTGCAAAGAGTACACCTGCTCCTTATTATTACTGGCAGTGTGTTATGTGTTGGACTGCCAGTTGCAAGGCAGTTTGAAATCTCCCAACTTGCTATGTGGGAGAAAAATGGGACAGTCCCCTCCTGCAAAGATGTACAGCCTTGGAAACCTGATGGGAGGGTCACTATGAGCTGAAATCAATTCAAGGGCACTGGATTTTTTTGCCTGTTTATTTTGGGTCAGTATTTGAGCAGTAACTTTATGTCCCCAGATAAGAGAGTTGAGGGTAAAGAAGTTGTTAGTAAACAGAATGGAAGAGAAATAGCTGGAGAATGGATATCATGTTTCCAAATTCTACAAATATGTGACCACTTCTAATGGAGGCCTTTACAGCAGCCATTTTTAAACTAAGTTTATTTGATATTGTGATTTATGTGGCTTCTCTCTTTAACTTAACCAATTAATTTCTTACATGTCTCATCTCTATTTGAATATCTACTTAAGAAAGAAAGAAGAATAGCTTAGGCAAATAACATTTGTGGAACGAACTGTTAAGAGCAGCTCAATATTAGCAGTCAAAACTAAGGCCAGGTGCTGACTGTGGAAGAGACCATTAAGTGCTTAGGTGTAAGTTCAAACTGAAACTGAGTAGTAGTAATAATAATAATAATAATTCCATAAAACAAAAATAAAATCTTGAATATATCCCAGTTGACTTTGAAAACCCTCTCAAAAATGGGTTTGAGGCACTGAACACTAATGGTCAAAGATGAGCTGAGCTGTGGAATAACGTCAAGGATATTATTCACAAAGCAAGAAAAAAAAAAAAGACAGTGGAGCAAGAAAAGACCAAAATTAATGTCACAAGAGACTCTGAAAATTGTGCTAGAACATCGAGAAGCCAAAATAAAGGGAAGTATTGCACAAAAGAGGCAGATTAACAGAGGCTTTCAAAGGGTAGCTCAAGAAGACAAAGCAAAGTATTATAAGGATATGTGCAAAGAGCTGGACTTAGAAAACAAGAAGGGAAGAACTCTCTTGGCACACCTCAAGATGAAGGAAGTGAAAAACATACTCAAACCTCGAGTTGCACTTGAGGGATGCCATAAGCAAAATCCTTAATTTTCCAGGAAGTATCAAAAGAAGATGAAGAGAATATGCAGAGTCATTGTACCAAAAAGAATTGTCTGATATGGAACCATTTCAGGAAGTGATTAAGAGCCAATGGTGATTGAGGAAGAAGTCCAGGGTACAACGAAGAAATTGGCAAAAAATAAGACAAAGATCTGACAGAATACCAATTGACCTTGTTCAACAAACTGATGGAGATCTAAAAGTGTTCACCATGCTTGTCCAAGAAATTTGGAAGATCAAGACCTGGCCAAAAGACTGGAGGTGATCTGTGTTTGTTCTCATTCCTGAAAAGGTGATTCAATAGAATGTGGAAATTATCAAGCACTATCATTAGTACCACATGCAAGTAAAATCTTACTGAAATTATTAAAAATGGCTAAAACATCAACAAGGAACTAAAAGTTCATGCTGGATTTAGAAGACACAGTGGCACAAGGGATTTCAATGCTGATTTGAGATAAATCATGGTTGAAAGCAGAGAATACCAGAAGGATATCCACTTGTGTTTTATCAACTATACAAAGGCATTTGACTACGTGGATCAGAACAAATTGTGGCTAGCATTGAGAAGAACAGGAATCCCAGAATACTAAATTGTGCTCATGTGAAACCTAGACCTAGACCAAGAACCTGTCATGTGAACAGATCAAGGGAACACTACATGGTTTAAAATCGAGAAAGCTGTACCTCAGAGTTGTATCCTTTCACCATTTTTGTTCAGTCTCTACGCTGAGCAAAGCATTCGAGAAGAATGTGGCATCAGGATTAGAGGAAGGCTCATCAACAATCTGTATTTTAAAGATGACACTACCTTGCTTGCTGAAAGTGAGGAGGACTTGAAATATTTGCTGCTGAAAAGACTGCAGCCTTCAATATGGATTACACTGCAACATCAAGAAGAACATGAAAATCCTCACCACTAGGGCAATAGGCAAAATCATGATAGATGGAGAAAACACTGAAGCTGTCAGTGATTTAATTTTACTTGGATCCACAATCCAAAACCTTGATACCAGCAGTCAGGAGATCAGAGGACATACTACACTGGGAAAATGTGCAGTCAGGGACCTCTCCTAAGTGAAGAATGAGGATGTAATCTTAAAGACAGGTATGTCTGATCTGAGCCATGGTCTTTTTTACCTTTCTATGCATCTGAGAACCATTATCTCTGTATAGCAACAACAACATAGAGAGAGCTCAGTTGGCCTAGTGAACAGAGAGTGATGCTACCAGGCCAAAGGTGGGTGATTTTAATCAGCAGCCCTTAGGCCTGGTTTTAGCTGTTTTTGGTCAAACATTCTTCTAAGTGGTATAGCACTGGTCTGTCCATTTGCTGTACAGAGGTAACTCGTGATTGCTGTGATGCTGAACACTGGGTCACTGATGTGTCAAATGTGATAATGGTTACCCATGGTGGACAGTGTTTGGTGGAGCTCCCCCGATTAAAACAAGCTTGGAAGCAGGAGTGGCATCCACTTCTGAAATAGCTTGCCTCCAGAAACTCTATGAACATGGAGAAATGATGAAAGTTATACAAGCGTTCAGGTATTTTGTTCATAGGGTCGCTATGAGTTGTCTACGATTCGACGACACTCAACAACATGTGTCTGAGAGTCGTATAGTGAATAAAGATGATAGTGTGAATAAAAATGATAGTAGATGCCTTTGATCTGTGGTGCTGGAGAAGAGTACTACATAGCTCATGGACTGTCAAGAGAATAAACACATATGTCTTGGACAGGGTGCAGCCATGATGCTCCTTAGAGGGAAGGATGGTGAATCCTCCCTCACTTCACATACTTTGGGTATTGTTTTAGAAGGGGCTAGTCCTTGAAAAATGACATCATGCTTGGAAAGGCAGGGAGTCATCGAAGGAGAGGAAGACCATCAATGAGAAGCACTGACATGGTGACTCTAACAACGGGCTCTAATGTGATGGGGATGATGAGGATGGTTCAGGATAGAGCAAAGTTCAAATCTGTTGTTCATAAAGTCTCTACAGTGGCCTCGACAGCTGGCAGTAACAGCAGCAGCAGCCAAATAGAACCTGCTTGGTCATGTCTGAAATTTTAATTCTTATCATAAGGGATTCCGAGAAGAAATTCAATCTGATTCCCATACTGGGTTGGTTTTTTTTATTTTAAAAAACTGGGCTATGAGAAACATTTACAAAGCAAACTGTTAAAGCAAAATTTTCCACTCACCAATTTGCATGCATTTTGTTTCATGCCAATGATGACATGTAACATGTTGCAAAAGCACTCATCTTATTACATTTTAAAAGAAGACCGTCAATTAAGAATATTCATCATCATTCATCATCATTCATCCCAAGCCACTATCGTAATGTCTAATTATGAAATAGATCCACTTATAATTCTCTTTTATAGGCAATCTGGCCAAATCAATTTCTAAAAGTCTTACCTTGATGATGATAATAATTATAAACACAGTCCATTGAGTTTTTAATAACATGAAAATGGCTAATACAAAAAATCTGTAATTATTCACCTGTGTATGCTCACCCAACAAGCTTTTGCACCTGTATATATAACTACACACACTGGGTTTGCCATAGTAACTTTGCCAATACTTCACGTTTTGATGCTAAAAGATAGTGAACGCTATCTTACCGAGGACTTAAACAAAAAGGATTGGAGACATTTTTCCCTTCATGCTTCCTTGTTAAACTCTACCCACCTAACAACCGTGGGAACATTTGTGAGGGAACATTATTCTTCTCACTGCTACACACATTGAAAAAAATAAAAAGAAAACAAACCTACTACTTTCTAGCCTTGTCAAAATTTTCTTTCCAAAAGCCTGGTGAAGAATATTTTGGAATACATAGTCTTCTAACTGGGTGTTTAACCATTTTAGTGACTGTTTTTACATCTGTGTTTATAAATGGATGGACTGCATGTATGATCAAAGAGCCGATCCTATGGATTTGTACATTAACCTGGGCTAAAAGTATTTTCCAGATCTCTGCAATGAGCATAGTTTACATTGAGTTATTTTATCATTTTGTGTGGGTGAAGTGTTTGCTATTTTGTCAGTACTGTGCCAGATGCAGAGAAGATGACTACTGCCTTTAATAGAACAGTACTTCAATATTTTATAGCTTTACTCATCTCATCCTCTTGAATGTGAAATTAAAAATGGTTCTACAAAGGATGAGTCTACCAACTAAAGTGCTGGAATTTGAGAATGGTTGAATACTTTCTTCCTTTTCTCCTTGGGGTGTGAATAAGACATGGGAGCCAGCTGGTGATGCAAACACAGCATCAGTGTTAATGCCCCATAATAGGCTGCCTAGTTTCTTGGAACTGCAACCTGGGTGCTCCCTAGAAACAAGGATAGTGAAGCTTGCTATCACATACGCTGGACATGTTGTTAGGAGAGGCTACTCAAAGGAAAGGGACATCTTGATTGGAAAGGTGGTGTGTCAGCGCAGAGGAAGATCCTAAATGAGATTGATCGATAGCAATGAACTGTAGCAATGGGTTCAAGTAAGTCAGAGATGATGAGGACAATACAGGATACAGCAAGGTTGTTTATAGAGTTGCTATGAGCTCTACTTGACTTGCTGGCATTTAAGTTTCTTGGAAAAGGACATCATGCTTGGAAATGTGGAACATCCTCAATGGGAGGGAATGACATAGTAACTGCAACAGCAGGCTCAGCACAGGAGAGACTGTGAAGATGGCACAGGATCAGGCAGTGCTTCCTTCTGTTGCATATGTGGACGCTGTGAGTCAGAGCCAAGAGCAGCTGGGTGGGGTACGGGACTTGAACCTCGTTGGTTTACTCTCCATCAGTCATTTTATGCATGAGCGATTGTGCTAGTTTGGGTCCTTCCAGAAGCAATTTCAACTCATGGCAAACTTCCTTCTGGTTTCTGAGGCTGTAAATCTGTATTGGAGCTGACTGCCTATTTGTTTCCAAATGAGCACCTGGTAGATTTGAATCACTGACCTTTTCTTTAAAAAATTTTTATTTTATTATTTTGTGTGTGTAGCATCAACTAGGATCTGACTGGTACAAGAGGAGATTTGTCCCACCTTCTCCAGCAGAGCATCTGGTGGATTTAAACCACAGACCTCTGGGACTGCAGTGCAGCTTCTTGCCACTAGACCACCAGAACTCACTGAATCACTGACGTTTTACTTAACAGCCCAACAAAGAACACACTATGCCACAAGAAATCCCTAAAGATGATATGAGACAAAAAGATATTTATTGAGGGAAACAGCTGGGAGGAAAAATGGGCAGGAACCACAGGAGACTGAGAGTTGTCAGCCATCCTCTGACATACACTCCAGAAGGAGAAGGAGGTGGAACAGGAAGGGTAGGAAGGACTGTTGAGAAGAAACACCTAAGACTGCTGTGCTGTGAGAGAATTCCCAGGGCCATCTGCGAGTCCTTGAGCCAAGGTCACTCACTAGAGGAGTCTCACCCCTTTCCAAGGCCATCAAGGAGTCCTTGAGCCAAAGTCAGTCAGCAGAGGAGTCCCACCCTTTCCACGTACCTGCTGTCTTCAGCCACTGGCCTGAGCAGCTGTGGGAATGGTGACCTCACTGTGGAGAGAGGTGGACTGCAGGCCAGGGGAAGCTGTTGGGGCTGTCATTCAATCCCTGTTCCAGTAGTAAAGTTTCCTGAGTCGAGTTCTCATGGCTGCCACGGTGATCATGATTGAATGTTCTTTCAACACTTTCCTTCCACAATGGCAGAGAACATGCCTCTCTGACTCAAACTCTACTAAATAGGAGACTGGGCTAAAGGTGAGCTTCCATTACTTAAGTAATGACTTGTAGTTTTATGAGCCACACACAGTAACAGATGTTATTCTGTAGTCATTATTAACATGTACATAGGGTTGCTATATGTCACTAGTGACTCAACGGCAAACAACAACAACATCATCATACTATATTGGTTGTTTTTTATTTAAGCCTCTTACTTTGAGTCAACAAGACCTTGGGTAGGGCCTTTGCATTTAAAAGTCGGTTGTTATTATATCTTAGAGGAACATTCTTCTAAATGATACAGCACTCTTCTGTCAATTTGCTGTACTGAGGTAACCTGTGGTTGCTGTGCATGTATCATTAGGGTGACAAATGCCATAATTGTTATCCATGCTTCACAGTGTTTGGTGGAACTCCCAGGTTAAGACAGGTTTGGAAACAGGAGTGGCATCCACTTCCTAAACCACATGCCTCTTGGAAACGCTACGAACTTTGGTAAATAACGATAGTTATAGAAAGGCTTCAGGCATTTTGTTCATAGGGTCAATATGAGTTATGCTCAACTTGACGGCAATTAACAACAACAATTAACATGTTTGTGGTGCATGTACAAGGTAACCAATAATCAATAAGCTGAATTGAGTAATCTATGCCAAGCATTGGAAGACACACAAAAAGTATAGGCTATGGTCTTGTCCTAAAGCTGTGATATAAACACAAAGCCAACAAATGGGAGAATATTTGAAACACTTTCCAAAGCAGGAGAGCACCTCTGTTACGCCCTCTCTTGCCCATATTCAAAGATGGCCTACATATGTCAATGTCAGTTTATTTATGTTTCTGAAAGATGTCACTGCAACTGAGGCTTTCAGCTCCTCGTCTTGAACAAGAGGTTGTAAAACTTCTGGTCTCAGTTATTGTTCAAGCCAGCCCTGCACTCACGTTCCACCAATGTCAGTTCCTCAAGCATATTATGGTCATAGAATACCACAATAATGTGATCATGTATGTTATCTCAGAAACATACTTCCTTCTAACTAGTGGTTGTTCTCTAAGTTATCAAACACTGAACAGTACTCTATTGTTTTCTTCTCCCACTTTTTCCACATTCCTCCTTAATATTCAGGAGGTCCTACTGAATTGCTGAGGCTGTCCCAAGAGCTTAAGAGGAAGTCCCTTTGCCAGAATCATACTCTGATGAGATTCTTGCTTTAATTTCTTTCTGGTTTCTATCTGTGACCCAGAGAGACCAAATGTTATGGGCTGAATTTATTTTCTTTTCTCTTCAGGGTGTTCCTCCTCCTTCAGATGAGGAAAAGAAGACAATTCCAGGAGCAAAGAAACTTCCAGGACCTGCAGTCAACCTATCGGAGATCCAGAATATTAAAAGTGAACTGAAATATGTCCCCAAAGCTGAACAGTAGTTGAAAGAAGGGAAAAAAAAAGGTAAGGGGGGGGGAAGTTCCTTTGTTTTAAAAAGACCCATGATTATAAAATGGTTTAGGAGGCCTTTCACAGAAGGAGTCTGCAATTAACTCCCAAGGCCTTTAGGCCCTCAATCCAGCAAACCCTGGTAGCACTGTGGTTTTGTATTTGACTGATAACCAAAATGTTAAGATGGTTGGAGCATAGCAGTCACTCCGTGGAAGAAAGATGTAGCAGTGTGCTTCTGTGACAATTACAGCCTTGAAATCTGAGACAGTTCTATTCTATAGAGTCATACATGAGTTGTAACTGGCTCAATGACAGTGGTTTTGTTTGTACTTTAATTCAGACCAGTATTTCTGGTATGTCACTCCCCTGCGTTTTCAAAAGCAGTCAGAAATCCATTGAAGATGTTTGTCTGACATTCACTTTCTGATTTCCTTTCTCAGTCAAGAAGAATTTAATCAGGAGAGGATAGATGCTTGGGAAGTGGCTGTAGGAAGCCTCTGATCCTGAGACTCAGGGAACCCTCTTCATTATCCCACGACTCAATTGTCCTATTCAGATACCATCACGAGAGATGAGCCATTTCTGAGCTGGAGGATCAAAACAGCAAGTAGCTGAGGAAGTTTAGAAATGGTATTTAAAGCTATTGTAACATATATACCTAAAGTGGAGGATTTTAACAAATAGACATTTATTTTCTTACAGTTTAGGAGACTAGAAGTCTGAATTTACAGTGTTGACTCCAGAGGAAGGATTTCTCTGTCTGTTAGATCTGAAGGAAGGTCTTTGTCTCCTTTCAACTTCTTTGGGTTTGGCATCTGTGAGGATTCACATCAATTTTGGCATCAATCTTTCCTGGGGCCTAGGTGGTTCACAGCACAGGGACCCTGGGTTCAAGGGATTCCCTTTGCTCCCTCCATGTCTTTTCGGGGGGTACTGTGGCCCTGCTGATCTCATTTCACTTGTTTAATCTATTTTATATCTCAAAAGAGATGCCTGTTCCAGAGAGTTCAGGCCTGAAAACAAGGAAGCCAGATGTGTACAAAGTAGATGAAGGAATCGAATACTGAAGCTTGGTGCGAGCAGGCCAACAGCGGATTCCCAGCTCAACGCTATGCATGACAAGGCACTCCAGGAAGGACCTTCACTTCATTCTTACTATGTCCTCTCAGTAATAGCTCTGAGAGGGCAGCTTTCTCTTATTTTGTCCTGTAGTGTTGCTATGAGTCAGAAATGACTTGGTGACAATGAGCTTGGTTTTTGAGTGCTGAAGGTCAGCCTTACCTTCTATTTGTGAACCATTCTTGTGTATTAGAATGAAAATTGTGCCAGTAGGGGGAGTATGGACTTCACCCTAGTCATTGCTCTTTTGCCTAGAAATACCTAGGAGCAAATTTATTCTTTATTCAAATTTATCTCTCTTTCTCTCTCATATACACCTTGTGACACACATTTCTGAAGCAGACTTTTAGTTGAGAGGAGAAGAATCTATACTGGGAAGATAAAACTGGCATTTAGGTCTCAGGCAGCGCGCACGCCGGCGTGAGAGGGCACAGGAAAAAGGTGGCTCTGGCCGGGGCGGTACGGCTTCCCGCTCTGGGGCTTCCTTCGCTGACGTCGCCGCGTTCTAGCGCGGGGCCTGCTGCTCAGGAGAGAGACCGTCCTCACCCACGCCTCGCTCCCTCGACGGCAGAGCTTGCCGGCCCGCCCACCCGTGGGAGCGTCCCGGCCGAGCAGCCCTGAAGGGGGAGGGGAGGCCATTTTGTCCCGACTGATTCCCCGGAACCGGGCGGAGCGACTGGGAGAGGCTGCGGAGCTGCAGTCACCGCCCTCGGAGGCACCGGACTCTGCCACCGTCGGGGGTACCTCGACGAGGCCGTTCTTAGGTCGCCTGCGCCCTCTCGAACCCCCTTTTTCCCCCCCAGGGCTCCCCGGTCTTCCGGCCTGAGAACGCCGGAGAGAAGTTGGCTGTAGTGAGAGGGGCCGATCCCTTGGGGCCGCCGGCGGCGAGAGCCTGAACCGCTCCTCCCAATGGCGAAGAAGACGTATGACCTGCTTTTCAAGCTGCTCCTTATCGGGGACTCGGGAGTGGGGAAGACTTGCGTCCTTCTTCGTTTTTCGGATGATGCCTTCAATACCACCTTTATCTCCACCATAGGAATAGACTTTAAGATCAAAACAGTTGAATTACAATGAAAGAAGATCAAACTACAAATATGGGATACAGCAGGCCAGGAGCGATTTCACACCATCACAACCTCCTACTACAGAGGAGCAATGGGTATTATGCTAGTATATGACATCACTAATGGTAAAAGTTTTGAAAACATCAGCAAATGGCTTAGAAACATAGATGAGCATGCCAATGAAGATGTGGAAAGAATGTTACTAGGAAACAAGTGTGATATGGATGATAAAAGAGTTGTACCCAAAAGAAAAGGAGAACAGATTGCAAGGGAGCATGGTATTAGATTTTTTGAGACTAGTGCAAAAGCAAATATAAACATTGAAAAGGCGTTCCTCACATTAGCCGAAGATATCCTTCGAAAGACCCCTGTAAAAGAGCGCAACAGTGAAAATGTAGATATCAGCAGTGGAGGCGGCGTGACGGGCTGGAAGAGCAAATGCTGCTGAGTGGCCTCCTGTCCATCGGAGGCAACTGCCACCCCGTTTTCTCTTGCTGCATAATAAACCACTCTGTCCATTTTTAACCCTGAACAGATATTTTTGTTCCTCATCTTAACTATCCAGTCCATCTATTTTGTTTGTTCTCTCATCTGTGACTGCTTGCTGACTTTTCAATTTTCTTCAAACAACAACAAAAATTGTATAGAAAAATCATGTCTGTGACTTCATTTTTAAATGTACTTGCTCAGCTCACCACTGCATTTCAGTTGTATTATAGTCTGGTTCCTCTTATCAACATTAAAACCTATAACAATCATTTCAACTCTATTCTGCAAATTGTATAAGAATAAAAGTTAGAATTAACAATTTAAAAAAAACAAACAAAACTGGCATTTATCTGGTTGACTGCCCATTTATTTATTCACACACTTATTCAGTTATTATTTACTAAGTGTCTACTATGAGCTGGCTGCTAGAGACAGTTATGAAACATCTATCATGGGCCAAGTATTATGTTAAGAGCTTTATATCTATTATTTCCTTTATACCTCATGACACCCAACTGTTGCCTCCATTCTTGAGATGAGTCTTAGGAATGTTGCTATGGTTGTTTTGTGCCACTGAGTTGATTCTGACTCACAGTCATCCTGAAGGTCAGAGTAGAACTGCCTCATTTCCAAGGCTGTAAATCTGTATAGGAGAATATTCTTTCTCCAGGTCTTTTCTCCTGGAGAGCTGCTGGGTTAGTTTGAACTGCTGACCTTTCAGTGAGCAGCCAAACATTTAACCACTATGTCACCAGGACTCTTATCTTAGTGATACTAAATGCTCCCCCCCCCCATTCCATCAGGCCTTGAGGCTGTGCTTTTAAGTACCTGCCAGAGTGCTTCAGGATTTTCTTCTCACTGCCACAGTGCAGATTCACTTCACACTCTCTGTCGGTATTGAGAATTTACTCTCCTGACCACAGAGATGGCAGAGGCAGGCACAGCCACAGATCCTGTTGTGTCTCCTACTCTAGACATAAGCCAGAACAGAACATTCTGTGAGACAATCTGCCTTGTCCTGGCAGTGTTGTTTGTGTTACGCTTATGCTGACTTAGTAGTGCATTTGCAAGTTAGGCCTGCCGACACAATTTCTTTATAGCCTAGAGAAAGAGAGGCGCCCTTTCAAGTGAAAAGAAAAGAACAGTCGGTATCTAGTGTTTCCAGCACAGTTACATAAAGGAGTAAAGGAGTATGAATAAAACTCAGTGGGTTATCTGTGGCCATAGAATGAATTCCAGGGACTTTGATGGGGACTGAGTGACATGAAAGAGAACTAACCTGAAGCATAGCTACCCACACTTGTTATTATTTATGACATAATGGAACAAATTGATGTTTTATTATCATTATCCTTGGTCCTTCTTGTGTTGCCAAGCTGAGATTAAATATTTCAATATGCTTGAGATGAAGCAGCAGAACTTCCTTGTAAGAAAGCCCAGAGAAGGGAAATTAACTTTTTGTAATATTTATTATCACCACCCAACCAAGGCCATTCAGTTAGGCACATGAATTTTTAATGCAAACTTTAAAGGGTTTTGCTTTTATGAAATCCATGTCGACCTAAATTTAACCCCAGTCCCAGTTTCAGAAGAACTTGATTTTGAAGATTCAAAGGAAGGCTGTTTAAAAATGAGCTCAGAAAGAATCTCGCCGTGCTATTCAGCAGTGAGGCCAATTCAACAGCCTTGGATCTATGGTTACAGGGAACAATACCAACTTAATGAAATATTAGAAAAGTGCCAGAGAATCTAGAATAACTTTTTCGTTAGTTCATTTTCTCAAACAAGAATTTAATGATTCTTCTCTCCTGCATAAATTCTAAAAATGGGGGCGGGGGGGGGGAGAACCATAGTGCCCCGACAGAGGCCTATTTGTTCTTATTCTTATAGGAATGTGGAGATATAAGTTGTTAAGGTAATTAATCTGAATTCCAAATGATCATGGCCATTGTTTTAAGACTTAGATTTTTTTTTTTTTTGCCTTGTAAGAGGTTAGGTTACTTTTCACTCATCTGTTCTTTTGTATATGTTCTTCTGGTCATGGTCTGTAGTCCCTGAAAGAGAATACACCTTAAAATGGACATAAATTATAGATTCGTGGACAAAAAAAATACCCCAGGGCAGCCATTATTAAACCTTCCACTAGTTGGACTGATTTCCCCTTTTTTGGGCCTTCACTTTATCACCTACCCTCACCAGACATTGTCCAGTGATTTGATCAAATAGACTGTTATTTTGAGGAGTGTCTAACACTGTGAATACCATGAGACCCATGGTGAAAAATCTAGGTTAAAACTATTAAAATACCATTTTAGCATACAAGATGG